TACTTGTCACTGGAATATAATGAGACAATAACAAGAACAATTAGTAAATTACATGTATAACTGGATGAACAGTATATGCCTCTTTTACATGAATCACATTATTAACTTAACATGTCTATGATACCACTAAAAACTAAAGCTGACATGCACAGTTCTACATGTATGTTATAGGCCAGACCCAAACCAATCAAGAGCTGCAGAACCAGGATTAGGGGGCCAAATTCACACCACTAAACCATTTTGTTAAAACAAAACTTTATGTCACCTAAAGGTCATGTCCAGAGAATGCCCAGCGCAAGATGTAAGAATATTTCTATTGGAGTACTGTAAGTCTACAAATTTCCGCGGTATATTTAGATTCGCGGAATTCGCGGGGGCCTTTGTACCGCGAATCTATTTCCCCGCGAATATGTTTTGCGTAAGTGTGCCCCCCACCCCACATGCATTCACGACGGACTTCGAGTTCAAGCGAAACACGCGATCCACAAATCAACTTTATTCTTAGCAGATGTACGTAGTTGAGTACTGTATCGAAACTATTAAAGTTAAACTGTTATAAAAAAATAATATTAATATGAGAAACCGAATAGCGATAGCAGGCCGTGTCAACCGCGTACCGCCCGACAAAAATCTTTGCATGTAGAGCGCCGGCCATACCGCTAAAATGCGGGCACATCGGGCATGTCTACAAATATTCTGGCAAAAAATATAAATTATAATTGTTGGTACCTGGGAAATATTACTTGGTTCTCTTTTACTGGAGTTTTTTCTTGTTTTGATGGGTATAAACGCTAGCGTAACGTGGCTACAAGAAGGCGACCTTGGGACACTTCCGCATTCATCGAACGCCAAAATCTCACATGTTTTCCTGAAAGATTCTTTTCATTATGCATTTCTTCACTACAGTGTCAATCTGGAAAATAGCGCGTTAGCGATATTTCCGAAGAAAATTGTTTCACTCGCTTCAGTTTGAATGTGCATTACCGCTGGCACGACGTAACAACCAATCAGAGACGCGTAATGCGGACATGTGATGCAACATTTGCATACCAACAAAGCATGCAGGCAGCCTCGCGCGGGGCAGGAAACAAATTTTTGCGCCGCGTTTTAGGAGATAAATGCCGGGACACAAACTTTCATTATTCTTAAAATGCATTTTACAAATTCTTTTTTGAATAGCCAGGGAGAAATCGCGAATCTAAAAATACCGCGGATTGTCCATTTTCCCGAAACCGCGAACTTTAGGCCCCGCGAATCTAAAGAGACTTACAGTAGTATCAAGGTCAATCAGCAAGTGCCTACAATTGACCTTCACCATCTGGTTCACCTCCCCTACCCACCTGCAGATCTTGAGTTATGCCTCACCCCACATCATCCAGACCCAAAACTACACTCCATTTTTCATGGAGTTAAAAAGTTGCTCAACTTACCCATATGGATTGTTAAAAGCAATGGCATAAACCACATTTCTATGTCCCTCCAGGGTGTGCAGTTCTTCTCCTGAAGCAGTGTCCCAAACCTTACAGGTTCTGTCATAGCTTCCTGTGATAAACCTGCAAGTTACACACAGTTCAGAGCCTGTCACTCACTGTGGCTTGCAAAAATAAAAACTGTGCGTAATCATGAGAACATCAATTTGATTTGTTGGTTCTCTGATTTTTTTCATTAAAAATATGAAGCGACAGGGGAAAAAATCCTATGATAGCCTCAAATGCTATCATATGATAAGAGACATAAACTTTCAAAATACATGTACTAGGCTGCTTATTGGTACAGGGGGAAAACCTATTTTGATAAAGAGGGACTTTCTGCAACTTTTGGGCTAAAATATTGAGCATTTTAAAATTTGGAGTTGATTCAGTGCCCAATTATTAGCTTCACAAAGGGTTAATGGAAAAAGGAGTCCAGTCCGATTGGCGGAAAAAGCAGTCCAGTCCGATTTTGGGGTGGAAAAAGCAGTCCGGTGGTTTCTACAAAATTCTACGAAAGACCATAGGCACAATTTTTTCATGTGTGTGTACTTCTAGTTTCTATGGGGACTTCGAGCTTCTATGAGTACTTACAGTTTCTATGGGTACTTAGAATTTCTATGACTACTTAGAGTTTGTATGGGAACTTGAATTAGCATATATGTGACTCACTATATGCCGCCTTAACCCGTAATTCAGGCAGTCTTGGGTGAGGAATAGCGGACAACCGATTTACACCTCTTGGGACCACCGAAAAGTAGTTTCTATACAAATGTACATACAGGTCACCTATCCACAATAAACAAAAGTTAATTATTAAGAGATTCTTTCTTACAATTGTACTTCCGGTACTTACATGCTTGTCGGTGTAATGCAAAGTCTGCCATACGCGGCTTTAGCAGGGGCCGGCTGGATGTTGGGCAGCTGGCAACCGTAAAGCGATTTAATCAGGCTACTTGCAAGCAGGATCGGCCCTGGAAATTTCGTCAGTTGACCGCTTCATCTTTTGACTAATTATTATTACTTATATGTAAGTAATAATCCGGAGGTATGATGATGACGATGATATGTAAGTTACAAACTGTAAGTTCCCGTACAAACTCTAAGTTCCCGTACAAACTCTAAGTACTCATAGAAACTCTAAGTTCCCATACAAACTCTAAGTACTCATAGAAAATCTAAGTACCCATAGAAACTCTAAGTACTCATAGAAACTCTAAGTACCCATAGAAACTAGAAGTTCACACACAAGAAAAAATTGTGCCTATGGTCTTTCATAGAATTTCGTAGAAACCACCGGACTGCTTTTTCCACCCCAAAATCGGACTGGACTGCTTTTTCCGCCAATTGGACTGGACTCCTTTTTCCATTAACCCCTTCACAAAAGAATGCTTTTCACAAGCTGCAGTGCAAGGTTCCCAAAAGGCTGCCATATGAAGAGACCTGGACAGCTAATATCATATAACAACTGAATCAGATATACAATGTAAACCATGTGATGATGTGCAGGTGTAAAATTTTATAGTAAACTTGCTCAAACAGACAGGCTCTATATGCCAGCCATCTGGCCATAACGACCACTTTTTCTCCGTCCCCAATTTTTCCCACATAGATGTAAGCATTTAGGGACTTGCACTATTTGGAACCGAACATGACCCGATCTCTGCATATAATCATAATGATTGTATCATTTCTCAAGGACACGGTGTGGCAGAGAAGTTTTTTGATGATAACTAAGGAGAAATCTATAATGAAATACATAATGTAATACCAGTTTGCCATAGACTTTGAAAGCATATGACAGTCTTTGCACAATGTAAAATGGCGCTGACTGGGTCATTTTGGGTCAATGGTGCAGTCTTTTTTAAAATGGGTGGTAATTTTGGCACAGTTTTTTGTGTGTCTCTGCCTTGCCTTGCCCCATGCTTAATTTGAATAAGAAGACCACAGTCTACAAACTTGTCTGCTCATCATACTATAGTTTGACTACATATGCATGATACATGTACCTTTCCAACGAATGAATGCAAAGAAGTGGATGGGACTTACATTGATCCAGACTTGTTGAAGGCAACATTGGTGAGTGGAAGAATATGAGCCCGAAGCACCTACATCAAAATACAGTTACTGTTAAAATGATCCTTCCCACAACAGTCAAGTGTTTTATATCATATTGGACGATTGAATGGAGACTTTTATTGAACATAATAACACACACTGGGTTAAATACATACTATTAGCAGATCACAACACATGGATACATGTATACGTATACATATTAATACATGATCAAGCTAGCACTAGTCTATTGTCTTATTAGTAACTAGAGTTCCCCGATCTCATACCTTCATCACTCACCTCACCTCACCGGTCCCATAGCAGTCAAGTTACTGCCATCGGGGCAACAAGACTGTCCATCTGATAAATGTCAAAACCTTCAATAGTCCTATCATGGAATGCAGCTTATTTATAGAAAATCCCGATAAATTATGCAAATAACATCCATATATGCATAATTGTCACATAATTATATTAAGCATAACGTAAGCTACCTACATACCTTCCTCACATTATGTAAGTCTTTATGGCTGACAAATTATAGATTATTCGCCCTGATTGTGCAAATAGGATACTCATTTTCATGAATTATATATGTTAATCATGTTCTCAACCAAGAGTCTTATATTAACAAATGATGCCATTCTAGTATTTCCTCATAAATTATGCAAATGAGGTCCTGAATGGAATACATTATGTTAAATAATGTTGACCTTTACTGAACTTTCAAATACCACAAGTATGAAATTCCAGGCAGTTATCATTACAGAATTATAGCATTTTCTCATTAATTATGCAAATTAAGTCTTCATTTACATAATCAATATCTGCCTATGTTTCTCTCATTCTCAATTGCCAATGTCACAACCTTCAATAGTCCTATCATGGAATGCATCTGTTTTATAGAATTTCCCCATAAATTATGCAAATTACATCCATATATGCATAATTGTCACATTATATTAAGCATAACGTAAGGTACCTACATACCAAAAATTACGATGATCCGTCAACTGGTTCTTGAGTTATCCTCTTTTGAATATTTTCAAACAGATAGCCCTGCAGTTCCAGAGCCCAAACTCACGTCACTTCTTTCCCAGCAGAAGTCAGTTACCTACCATCCAAATTTCATAACCCTAGCATGTCTAGATCATGAGATATCAAAACCGGAAGTTCAGCTGCAGCACCATAACAAGCCGCTGGGGGTTCCAAAATCTAATTATTTTGAGGTCTCATCAAGACCTACCCACCTACATGTACCAAATATCTAAACAAGCCATTTAAGCCTTCTCAAGTTCTCGTGTCTCCAGATGGACACACACATACACAAACGCCTCTGAAAACGCCTTCTAGGTAATTAAGTACGTAAATATTCTTGAAACCCCATGATGCACTGCTTTTCAGTAAAACGTTCTCATCGCCTGGTTCAGGGTCAGAGTAACCACTACTGTCTGTCTGTGACTCATAATGAAAGGGTTGCCCGGCCGATCAAGGCCCAGACATGCCTGCCATTGTAAACAGCTAGTAGCAGAATGAAACCGGTGACGTCACAGGTCCAGTCGCTGCGCCTAGTGGATAATCGGGCGCTAGCCGGGAACACTGAGCAGGTCAGATATCACTGCAAATATGTGCGGGGTTGGCAGAAACCAATAAATCATCATTTACAAATAGGATTTTGGGTGGAAAGGCCCTAAAACTGAAAGTATTATTTTGTCCTAAATATCAAATACCTAATGTAGTCCCCAAAACAGTTTTCAGTAAAATATTCTCAAAACTCCCAAGACACTGTCAGGGCTTTTCAGTCAAATGTTCTTGAAACCCCATACAGGGCTATTTATTAAGTCCCCAAATAGTGCTTTTCAGCATTTAGGTGTTTTCCAATCCCCCATGTAGTGCCGAAAACCACCATACACTTGCTTTTTAGTAAAACTGTTCAAAAAGTCCCCACATATGGTACTTGCAAGGATCACCCCGTCATAAGTACAAATTTTCACACTTTTGACAGGATCCATGCATAATTTATCTGTTAATGTTCTATGTGCCATGCATTACATGTATCAAAGCCTATGATGTAATGATGCAATTGCATTAATTATGCAAATTTCATTTACATAATTTACATTCGATTGTTTGCATCTGCTTAAAAGTAATATGGTAGACTATGGTACCTGTAGTATGGACTGAAATAATAGTTCAATCAAGGGGTCATGACAGTTGTCCGACAAGGGAAAATAATATTACAACTTACCTTGAACAGGTAAAAGGCATGGTCGTCAGCAGCAGAAAGTTTCAGCTGAAGTTCTGATGGCCATGTCAAGGATCATCATTAAGCTTACCAATTGAAATATTTACTATTTGTCGTTGAGCATAAGCGCTAAATTTCCCTCCCAGCAATAACAATGCAAGTTAAAACTTGGAATGCCAACCAAATGTTAAATTTTGCTTTCAGTTCACCACAGCTGTCAGCTGCACCAGGTTGTATCATGTTTAACATTTGGAACAACATATCAACAACCCCTTTCCACACTAGTCTTGCGTTCTATTGAAAACCTCATTGGAAAAACTAATCAGAACCTGGCACCTCTTTAATTTGTCTGACCCCTTTTCTGAATGGTAAAACCCGGCATTCTCCAGCCAAAACAACAGCCAAGCCATAAAACCCGAATAAATAAATAACACCGAAAACACATATACAATTTTAAAAAGGAAAGCGCATCATCTGGACCCCAATAGCAAAACGTATACATTATACCGAGTCACAGACAAATCCGTCCAGCCCACCATAAGATACATCTGCGAACATTCAAACGTCAACCACTAACTTAACTCTTCCGCGGAAGGATGTCAAGATCTTCTTCCTCATAGCTCAGGGGCAAATATAGCACACAAAAGATTTAAAGCAGATAAAAGAATATTACGATTTGTAAGCACAAACATCTTTCCAAGGAGAATAATAATAATGGACAGAACAGGGGAATGGTCATTAAGGTACCAAAAATTATACTAAGTGCATTAATATGCAAATGATTTGTAACTGTTACAATGTATATTGTTAATGTCATAATGTTACAATGTCCATAGATAGCATTGTATTCTCGCCGGTTCTAACCCCTTCCTCGAGCAGGGCCAGCCACCTGTTCGGACATGTGCCAGCGCAAGTACCTGAGTCGTGTTTGAACAGGTGATCTAAACCGGTTCCATACCTGTTCGACAGAAGGGGCTTTAGAACCGGCCGGTTGGAAGTTAAATAAATAGTTGAGTTGAGTTCAAGTCTTCATAAAGTGTAGATGTGTATTTCTTACAGATTGATGTTGAAATGATGGAAGATTTTGGCTTCTGATTGATACAAAAGATCCCGTCAATATTGGAAATTAAAATATAATTGACAGTATGATCATGTCAATAACAGAAATTTGTACTATTGATACGTGTAACATCTGTGTCCATAATATCACCACCTTGAGAAAAAGTGTGCTTAAAGATATTTTTACTGCAACATACCCTAGGTATGTACATTTGAGGTGTGCAGGGTGCATACCAAAAGTATGTTGCAGTTAAAATATCTTAAAGCACACTATTTCTCAAGGTGGCGATATTATGGACCCTGGTGATATTATGGACACAGATGTTACAGAAATAACCAGAAAATTTACTTTTTGTATTGTCCCAATGTTACATCATGCAGCTGTAAGGATACTGTTGATGAGTGTTCTGACTTGGTCCATACGAGAAGGGGTGATGAGTGGTTCCTTACGAGAAATCTCATCTAATACTGCATCTACATCAGTTCTGCAAAAAGAAAAATCATAAAAATGTATCTATACTATAGATAATATACAGATGTACATGATGTACATATCAAAATAAAAAATATTTGTAAGTACTTTTATGTTCACAACGGCTAAATACCCGACCGACACTATGAATCCCCTAGACTTTTTTTGGGGCCGCTTGTTGTTACTGATGATCACTTATACAAGGAGACCTGCCAGGAAAATGAACATCCAGCGTTACAATGAAAGAAATTTACCTTAGTTTCCGTCTGTCTCATTCTGCAACTGCAATATTTTTCACATTTTCGTTACCGATAGACATCTAGGAATCATAAAGAAGTTTACAGGCCGCGTTTGGTTTGGATCGAGCCGATAAGTGACACCACATGCTCACACTGTGACGCATGTAAATTTTCACTCAAAATGAGAAATTAGCACCCAACAATACGGAGCATTGGGGTCCCACTATTGTATAATTACTCTTTTGTTCTTGTGGCTAACTTGTTTTCTTTGCTCCAAACTCCAAACAAAAAAAAAGGCTAGGGTTGGTAGTTTTTTTCTACGGTTAGTTGGGAAACAGGAAACAACTTTTTTTTTGCCTTGGCCTAAACCTATTATTATAGCTTGCGAGACCTATATTCTCTCCATTTGCAGAGAGGATGTTGGATTTGGGAGCTATAATAGGTCTGGTAACCAGGCTACTTATATATAATTTCAGGACTGAAACCAAAAATCCAACAGTAATTTTCTTAAACACACAATTTGAACTTACTCTGGTTTCAGGTCCAACAGATCCACAGACTTCGTCTTGGTCTGCCCTCCTTGTTCATACTCAAGGATGATCCCTGCAAGAAGTGAAGAGAATCTTGAAAACAAGAGTCCTTTGGACACAAATTGTTGTAACAATTTTCACAGTTTAAACACCGACAAATGCCTGGCCAGCCGCTATGATGCTACTACTACTGTAGCTGGCACAATTCACCCAATATCTGCCTAGAAAAATGCTATTAAAGCTTTTTAACGTACGTAAACCTATGAATTCAAAATATTTGGGTGCACTGGTGCATTGTAAAAATTCTGACAGTTGCACTATATTTCCTTATTGGCTAAACATTACCCATGCAATTGCAGCCTTATATAGGGCTGAATTGATGCAATCAATTTACAATCAATTTATAATAACCTAAGAATCAACTAGAGAGGCCGACATTTGCTTGGGAGCAAATACAGCATATTTCAGTCCATCTCCCTCCCACGCAAAATTGGACTATTCCAAACTTACCCCAGTGTAAAACTGGCAAAGATTCTCAAATAAATGAATTATATATAGTAGCTATGTAATTGAGAACAAAGATGAAAGAACAAGCACATTGAATCTCGAAAGCTTTACTAATCTTATTACAGGTATGCAAATACTAACAATGATGTGATTTGATACATTTTGAAGGTCTTAGGCACATAAAATTGAATGTGTGGGTCATTACGCACGACTTACGTGCAATGTGACCTCAGGTAACCCACAATGGAACATGTGTTCCATGGCCAACGGCAGATAGAACGGGTCATTCTTCAGATAGAACATGGAACGGGTATAGCAATTTTGGCCCTTTTTTGCTGAAAAGAGTCATTTGGAAGTGGTGTATGCCAAATATGTGACTGCTATTCTGTAGACACATGTTCAAGGTACCCTTATACTGAATTTCAGATCATTTGGTTGTAAAACCAGGGCTCGGGATCCAAAAATCCATTTTTTGGCAAAAAATGCCCCAAAAAAACCTTCATAAAAATTTTTCAAAAGCCATGTATCAGAAAAATGAAAAAAAAACCTGGGGGTATTGGCCCACTCTACCTCCATGCCAAATTTGAAGTCATTTGGCTGACAAATGACAGAGTTGAATCCCTTTGACTGTTTGGCAGGAGGAGGAGAAGAAGAAGAAGGAGAAGAAATATGAGAGAACACAATATATTTCATCCATACCATGGTATGGACTGAAATATAATCAATAATCACAAACAATGACATAATACACATGATACATATAAGTAGTACAAGAAGGTTTTCATATTATTTTTCTGAATCTGATGTTAAGGATATGCTGTATAAGTTACTGCTATACATTTAGCATTTTGACATACGTAAATCTATGAAGATATTTGGGTGCACTGGTGCACCCACAGAAAAAAATTGGGTGCACTGTAGCACAGCTTCAAATGGGTTGGCAGAAAAACCTGTCCAGTCTGGACTGGTCTAGGGGGGGCAGAAAAACCTGAATAAAGGCTCTGGATGGGGGTTCCAGGCAATCCTCTTTAAAAATTAAAGCATCCCGGATACCCTGGACGGCGTCCCTGGCCATCCAAGCCCGCCCTGGCCCATCCCAGACCGTCCCCCCGTCCCAACATAAGTTAAGGCCGTCCAAAAATTGACGCTCCGGGCAGCTGGGCCAATCCCAGAAACCAGGGACGCCTGACCGTCCCTCCCAACCCGTCCCTGGCCCGTCCAGCGTAGGCACAGGCGCCTTACGTAAGCCAACGTTAATTGATGCCGGGTGATGTTAAATGAGTGAGGTGATGTTAGCGGGTGCCAGGCGCGCACAGCGGGGTTTTGGCCCTTGCACATGCGCACATTCTTGAAGGCGAGAACAGTGTTCAGTTCATGTCCGGGCTTTTGTGCCTCTTGAAGCACATTTGTAGGATAGATCCACTACTCAGCAGCGGCACTTCTTCCCACAACATCGTACACATTTATATAATTAACTAGTTCATCAAACGAGGATCGTTCTCAATGAAGAATGGATATTCGTGGCGGGGCACCAGAAGCAGAGTTACAGCAGTAGAAAAACAGCGATGTTGACAAACAAGTTTATCTTTCAGTTTTTCTGTTGAAGGACAGATAAGTGAACAACCATTTATGTGGTCAGATGTTACGATCAACAGTCAGACAAAGAACAAAAATTACGCCGACGATCTCGCCACGTGCACCCTCCCAACCTGTTTCCAGCACGCTTCTGGAAATTGTTTTGATACCGTAAAATAAAAAGACGCACCACAACATTGTAGAATACATGCATACAACAGTGTTCGAAATACTTTTTTTCAGGTACGTCCAAAATTGCACATTGGCAAAATTTTTAGGTGCAATTAGAAAAATTTATGTGCAAAATTATATTTAGCCTTGCATCTTTAGGTTTGCAACTGTTTTACTGTGTATTAACCTTCTTAGCCTGCCGCTGCATATAGAAGTTTTAGTATACATTAAAAAGAAGGGACCAAACAAAACATGAACAATGCTAGTATCATCTGTGTTTATAAAAAAAAAAAAGAAGACACAAAAAAAATTTGTCGGCATTAGCTTCAAAGGACGCCGCTAGTGACTTCTGGCCCTCTCACTCGTCATACCGGGGTATCATGTCACGAACACTACAGTTGGAACTTCCACATCTTATACGGCACATAAAGAAAATTTACCAACAGTATGCGAGCAATAAATTTCATTTATTTTGCATATTTGTTTACCTTGAATATCGTGCATGATATAAGGAAAAAATACTGCTTAGAAAAAAACAACGTAAATTTTTGCTTCTTGGCGCTCCCCTCCCCCTCCTCTAGGGGCGCGTCGTCAACATCGGCCGCGGCCGCGGGATCCTCGGAGACGGTGGACCCGGTGGCATCTCCCAATCCACCGTCCCCGGCTGCACCAGTCTCTGTCCACCGCCACCGGCTGCACCAGCCTCTGATGCCGGCTGGGCCCGTGAAAAGAACTTGAAAATCGACCCCTTCTTCATGGGCCCTTCTTCATGCTTTACAAATTTCCTGGGTAGCACTGAATGCTGGGAAATCCGAAAACTCTGTTTTTCACCGAATTTCCCCGAAAATTGGACGAAAAAGCCGAAATTACTCTGCCGAAGGACTTCGTCCCACATCGGGCAACAAGTTTCGCGGGTCTCACCATATTTGGTAAATCAGCCACGTAGGCCTTCGCGTCTTGCCATATTTGGTAAATCATTACGTAGTGCCTTCGCGTCTTCACCTGGGGACGAGAGCAGCTTGTTCCCAGGATGTACAGTAAGGAAAACAATATGGCTGCCATGCGCCCAGCGCGATGTCGACACAGCAAGAAACTTCGGAGATACGCAGTGCAAACATGATATATCGGTATTTTCCAGGTGCAAAATTGCACATTCAAAATATTTTTAGGTGCAAATCTTGAAAATTACGTGCAATTTGCACATTGCACCTTTGTATTTCGAACTCTGATACAATGCCTGACGTTTTAATTAAGGGTTAATGACCCGCCCCAAGGTGAATATGGTGTGATAAAGCCTTGTCAGTTGCTATAAGGCCACACCAAGTAAATTTTATGGATGACGTCCTTTGGAGACCCTAAATCTAATGCGAGAGGGCGAAAAAAAAAAAAGACGGGCCCTAAAAAACAAGATGCCTAGATAAGAAATATACTAAGAGACGACAAATGTTAGGACACAAATTGAATGAGGTGACACAGTGTAACAAGCAAGAAGTCAGGTGGAACAGCAGTTGTCGTCCTGTGAGTTTGGGGAGATAGATGGAGCGGTCAGCAAGTTTCTTCAAATGTGGCAGCATGTACCAAACTGAATTCCTGAAGTCATGATTTCGTTGCTTGATGCTTTGGTCCGTACAAACCTATTTGCGGCACTGTCGTGACTCTTTGGTCATAGTTACAGGAAGCGGAATTTCTTGTTTTTTTTCTAGGAACAGGCCAAAATCAATGCGCGCGCGGACGTCATCCATAAAATTTACTTGGTGTGGCCTAACCACCGAATAAAGCCACCAAGTGAGCGCAGCGGCTCAGGACACCGTCCAGAGCCAATTCACGTTGTCCGAAAACCCGTCCATAAAAGCGCCCGGATCTGTCCCAGAGCCCACCCAGCCCCGTCCCGGAGTCCATCCGTACCGTCCCAGAGCCCACCCAGCCCCGTCCCAGAGGCCATCCGTACCCATCCCTGCCCCCATCCCAGAGCCCCATCCCGGACCCTGTCCCCCAGGTCGGGGTGGACGGGGTCAGGTGCATTCGGACCATCCCCGACCGTCCAGGCCAGTTTTTTAAGCGCCCGCTGGCCACAAAGGCCACCCCAGACGGGTATCCGTCCTCAAAAGGATGCCATCCCGGATGGGCATCGCACTGGCCACCCAATCTCTTCACAGCATCGCAATGTCTCAACATAGCAGTGTCTTGAATAGTGGCTATTTGGACTTTCTATCAAAACCAGGCCTTGACCCCATGCAGACCCTTTTACAAGACTGGACTGGTCCCCCCCCAACAGTCCAGACTGGACAGGCTTTTCTGCCAACCTGCTTCAGTTTCAGTTTATTTCAGTTTATTGAGATACCCTTTAGCCCATTATGGGCTATTCTTCCAGGGTTCCTGCTGTGCAGGTATTTCTGATGTCTATGTACTGTGTTTGTATATAAATAATATTTGTGGATATTTATTTGCAGCATTGTCTCTGTGTTACTGTTACCACCGTTTGTGGTACTAGTAATATTTCTACATGAATTTTTGTGATCAGTTTTTAGTAAGATTTAAAGCCTGAATGGTGAAGGTAAATTTTGTCTGGGGTAGGTAATTTTCAGGGTCGCCTGCACCAGTGCAGGTATGCAGGAAGAAGTCTTCCTATGTATTTTGAGCCCTGACCTCGGGTTGCATAGCAACAATCCACTCACATATTACCACCTGGTCTACACACCAGGGCCTGTCCAGACTGTCATGCAGGCAAAAAAGAACACTTCATCTTGGGGAACCATCCTAGATCATCCTAGGGAAATGAGTGTTTTATTAGTTGATATAACAGTTAATAGTTTCTACTGCTACCATAATTTTGTAACGTCAACGACGGTTTGGGGAGGGAGCGCCGTCCAAATTACTAGTAAGTCACGTTAGCCCATAACGTTATTTATGTAAGCCGCCGGAAACAAATGTATGCCCACTCAACACAACAGCCAAGCATTGCTGCTGAAAATACCAAGTTGATGAAGATGTCAAATAAACTTGTGACGTTACGTTGAACTAATTCACGTTAGGCTTCTGGGTGAAAAACATTTAGAAAACAGCTGAGGGATGTCGGATCTGCCGTCATTCTATTGGAGG